GTGTAACAGTGTTTACACTTCGAAAAAAGATTCGATGTTCAGGGCTTTGGGCATTTATTGTGTTCGACACAGAGATAACACGCAAAACCGGCATACTGTTTGAACAAGTCCTTAATACAGTGTTCAGTTTTGGCGAAGACAGCATAATTGCCCAATAACCTAAAACCTTGGTATCATGTGCACATGATGATTACTTTGGATGAACTTTTCGGAATGGTTAGAAGCTGTTCTGGTCCTTAAAATTCCTGCTTTCAATCAACCGCCAATAGTACATCGTCGGGTTACTAGAAGCCCATGCATATCAATCTTCCCGAGTGCTTGGTGTTTTATGTTCAACCCACAGTGCATGGTGCTAAATGAAATTTTTATTCATGTAAAAGCGACAAGCCTCCAAACCAAGGTCCTGATTAGCCGCTGTAATTCCAATTCATAATAGGAAGTTATCTGCAAACAGCTACATATGGACACAAGATTTGAGCAGCAGTGTTCTGACTAGAAAACGCTTAGACTTAAACAGTATTCCGTATGAATGCCATGATCGCAATCGCGCAACGCCTCTGGGTAGTTGGCTGTTAAATAGGAGACGGACAGGTCTGGAATAAGGGTACGGCGTTGCTTCACTCCGGTCTTGATTTCGAACTCAATCGGAGTAGGGCATAGTGCACCACTCGCGGTTTTATCCAGTGAGAGTTCTTTCGTTAAGGCTTACAAGTTTATTTGGATCACAAAGCTTTCGTGGGACGATCCACAGTGTCTCTCTGTTGACCGATACATCGGTTTTGGCGAGAGATGCAAGCAGTCCTAAGTGCCAGAAACCAGCTGACTGAACAAGGTACAAGTCTCACAGTTGTCCGCTATTTAAAGGAGACTGATTTCACGATAGTTATTCACCTTCTGTCGAGTTTCTTTCCTTTTCTATAGAGAATTTGCCGTTGCATCCTTGTAGCCATACGGAATGTCACTGATCCCCCAGAATATGTATAATAAGTAGCAAATTTCGTTATTCACTGGTGATGTTGGTGTACTAAGCTTGAACACTCTTGCAGATAACTCGTCCTATATCGCTGCTCTCCCATTTTGACGCCAATGTAGGCGCCCTGCCTTGAACAGGCGGACTAAGCGAGACAGGTGCGCTATATAACTCAAATTCCACATCTTCTAGCCTGTTGAGTAGTGTAAAAAAAAGCGACGTTTTCGAGGGACCGAGATTTCTCTCAGGCATGTCAACTTTTCTACACCTTGGATGTCGTTTTTCAGCTGAATGAAGTCAGTGGACCAAAGATTTCTTCCAGTCCAAATAATCCTTTTATGAAAACGGCGGTCCACCCACAGTTGAGGTCCTTTCATGGGTTTGGTTCGCGATTCATTTCGAAGTATCTACAGATGCTTCGGTGGCTTGGTTGGCATGCCGCCACATTGCTCACGTGCAGTTGAATCTGTTGAGTTTTAGATTGTTTCGCTGATCACCAGGCTGTGCGTATTCTGGAAGTATAATGAGCAATTTACCATTAACTGTCCCTGATTCTGATTGCTGGTTTGCTTGTTCGTTTTCATTGCTCTTTCAGATGTATTTGGCATGTCTTGTATTGCATTAGGTTATATTCTGTCGCACCTCATTGTATCGTATGTTACTGTGTTGTACTGTACTGTACTGCGCACATATACAACTGAACCCAATTAGCAGGCGTGTAAGTCTTCAGCATTGCTTTCTGTGCTTTCTGTCAAGACCGAGCTGATTAATGGCTAGCACCCGCTAAAAATAGGTGTATGCGTAGGGTGTTGAATGAGTGACTCAGATCATCAGACTACCCTTCGCATACACTGCGAGTCTCAGCTGTTCAGTCGCATCCAACATGGAAGCATGTGGGCCACCAGTTCTGCAGGAATGATGGCTTTTCCTTCCGGTGTTATTCTTTCGGTTTCCACCAGGGGTACAATCCTTAAGCCAGTATCACATTCAGGCTAACTGCAAACTACCCCCGGAGTGCATGAGGATCCGTTGACTTCTTTCGATGTGACAGACAAAGCCAGTCCACCATATGCGATAATGTAGTAAGACAAAAAAAAGTTTAGACATACATCTGGATAGTGAGAACGGCTGCAAGGTGCAAAAGAATGGGACATTCCAGAGGCCTGGTGGGTTGGGCAGTGAACAAGGAAACCGCTAGTAGCTGAACGCGAGTGCTATGATAGAACCATGGCTAGGAAACACTGCTACCCCAGCAATAGGTGTCACCAAGCATCTAACACATTCGACACCCGTTTGTGCAAGGTAAACTACATTCAACCACATGGACATTACGTTATAAGAACTAGATGAAGGATGAAGCCGGTAGTTCTAAACTTTTGTAAGATGTATATTATTCAACCAAATTTCACCCAGGCTTCGAGAAATACACTCATTTCCAAATCAATTTGGTTTTCATGAGAGACTCAACTGAATCTCTCGTTTATGCTATTCTACAACTGAATGTGCCGCCTCATGATTTAGTTGACACGATATTCGAGATATCGCAGTATATTTCCATAAAGAAAACCACTCACAAGTTTGCTGAAAACTCTTCGACAGTCCACGACCGGTTTCGCCCTTCTTGGGGCTCATCAGGTAGGCGCAGTCCCTGAGTTTCCGTCAACCTTATGTTCTACTTAAAAATATACTGCGATATCTCGAATAGCGTGCCAACGGAAACATGAGATGGCCTGTGTGCAGCACATTCAGTTGTAGAATATCATGAAACGAGAGATTCAGTTGAGTTTCTCCTGAAAAACAAATTGATTTGCAAATGAGTGTAATCCTCGAAAACAGTGCAATTTTGGTTCAAGTGGATCATAAGGTTGACGGAAACTCGGGGACTGTGCCTACCTGATGAGCCCGAATTGGAAGGGCGAAACCGGTCGTGGGCTGTCGAAGAGTTTTCAGCAACTTTGTGAGTAGTTTTTTTTTATGAAAAACATCACCCAGGCTTGTTTGAATCCTGTGTCATGGGTTAGTAGTGAGCTCTATAACTTTGCTAATAGACACTGGCTTTCTAATTACACTGATGTTCTGTAGGCGTTTGCGGAAGTGAATGACCCTCGCTTCAACTGGTGCGTAGATGGTACATGTGTGAAAGCACATGCACAGGCACGGTTCGACGCAAGTTAGGATACACCAATGGTCCTCTTTGAAGAGGAAGTTTGTTCGAAACAAATTATATATAGAACTCCTTTCGTGGTTAAGTCATTTGCCGGTTGAAAAAATGCTCAACCGCTCCCAACTGAAAACCCGCTGCTTTGGACTGGTCAGACTACCTTTGCCATCCAGTCAAACCGTTGGAGACTATTTTTTAAGGGACTACGTGACGGACATTTTTAATCACATTTGATGTTCACTTTAGTTCAGTTTGTCAGCTATAAACCATGTACCAAGGGGACGTTGGTTCCATTTATCACAGTTTCGGTCACCAGAAAATGGAAGAGCAGGGGAGATTTAGTCAAGCATGAGAGGCGATGGCATGATCAGTTAATTCGGAGAACTGGCCAACTACGGGCTGAAGGTGATCATTTTTGATGCACGAATGCCACCGACTGAGTGATTGGGCCAGTGTTTCATTAACCATTGATGGACTGAGTCTGGGCGTCCCCACCCAGGGAGGCCACAGTTGTCAACCCGAGAGAGTTTTCCGGTTCGTATATTTATACTTCACTGCCAGGTCATACACTATCCATCTCTAGGTCTCTTCTGCTCAACACAGGGTTGGGTGAAAAGTGCTGTGCGAGACAGATGGTCTTCTGGCATGCGGAGTAAGACATACTGAAGAGGACAGAAGGCCCTAGTTTTGGGTGCCTTCTGAACTTAGGCTACACCGCCGATAAACAGTCTTCATTTAAGAACAAAACTGAGGAAATTGCAGGTCTTAAGCACAAGAAACCTGTCTGGGAACGTGCAGTGTTTCTACCTTATTTACATATGTGCCGATATTCTTGTATTTTCATTAGCTAGTTTACTAGTCTAATTCCATCTCAGATTAAAGTTATTTGCTTTTGACTGTTTTGAAACACCAAGTTACTCACAAAGGTTACGCGGTGGGAATAATACCGGCAGCTTTTTCAGGGCAATTTGGAAATTTTCTTTTCGATTCCGGAAAACAAAAAGTTATTCCGAGAGAATTTATTGCATTTGTCCGGTCTTTTCATTAGAACTGATGACAAATTGCTCATATTCTTCCTAAAAATGGAACTGTTTGCCACATTCCGAAGTTAAAACACTAGCGAAAATTTTTGTTAAATGATTATCTAGAAACCGAAGGGAGGACCAGTTAATTACCTTTGCTACAGTTGTTCGGGACACAGTCAAACAAATCTCCCTCAGTCTCGCGTAAAAAATCAATGTCACGCTTTCATACTTTAAAGCTTGTTTAAGTAGTAACAGTGTCGTACACATGTTATCAGCGGACGTGGAGAACACCTGGGGCCTCATCGACATGCACACCAGCCAGGTGCATGTACGCACGCCGTGTTGTCATGCCTAGATTTATTCAGCTAGGTGACCGACACACCATAGCGGAAACTGCACACACAAGCACACACTGACTTTCCCTAATTGGTGATGTTCATGTGCCTCAGCGGGAAGTGCGACCCCCTTCTCCTGGAACCCAATGGTTTCAACTGACAGACGCGATGCAGGAGTAATAATTGCGTCATATTGGGTGCTTGGTAATTTGATGTCGTGTGTGTGTACAGCCTAGGGTGAAATTGAACGAATTATTGGTTGGTTAACTGGTCTAACAGGCCACTTGAACACAAACGCGCACAATTGGGCGTGCCGAGTAACGACAGCCTCGCTTACTTGCTCGCAACACAAATGTCGCACACGGTAGAATATCAATTTCCACACAGACCTTGGGGGTGTGCTTCCCAGTGTGCATTCGTGTGCATTTGTCAACCCCTATCGTCACGCTGGATCGATATTGTGCCGGTTATGAACAGGACAAAAATGGCGAGGGCGAAGGCGAGGCCAACGATTTCCTGGGCCTCGGTGTTCCCAACTTAAATCTACATCACGTCTTGTGGAATATCCGAATTCATTGTGATTGCGGTGGCACAAGCCGAGTGGCGTGTAGTTGCGGAGATACTGCGACGGGCAGTTATCCGGTGCGAATGCATTCATCAGTAATCGTCTATCTCATAGGATAACGTAACATACATTGGACCTGGAACAAGGACGGTTTCAGGAATTCCTTGAAGATGGGTCGACGCCCTTCTAGGTAAGTTTTATCCCATGTAGTCTAAAACGAAGTGTCTATGTATTAATTGCTTCTGAAGACATAAACCAGATGAGTCGTTTGTTTGGCTGCATCTTCCATCATACTACTATCACTAATCAGTTGTTTTATTGCTATATCTAGTATGCATTCATAGCCCACTTACAATGTGCACCAAACGTTCTTCCTAATCTTGCACTAGGTATCTCAAACTTATCGGGCCTCAAACTCGATCAACTTGTGAGTTCGTGTTTGAAAGACTTCTGGAATAGGTTTATTGGATCTGAGTTGATGGGACAACAGTGCATGGCGCACAAGCTTTTACGAGGCTGTCAGTTTCCTTAATTATTCATCGGGTACCTCTGAGCTTGTGGATATATTCTGTTATCAGAGCCTGAGTAAAGTGTGCGTATTGGTTGATGTCAGCAGATCTCGCAAAAAACATACATCCCATCAGATATGACAAGCAGATCTGGATGGATGAAGTGGTCACTTGATTGATCAGGGAGACATTTCTAGCTAATCCAGTCTTACAGTCAGGTCGATAAATATGCTATTAGAGAACGTCGCCATGGCCTTAGTTCAATTTCTCCGAAGGAACACAGTCAGACTCCTTCAAATAAGCATCCGCCGCTCCAGTTAAAAGTACAGAATCTCCACAATTTTCGCACCGTATGGTGAATTCTGTAGCCTGTTAACGTTTGTAGGAACAGCAAGTTCCAGATACACTTAACGTTCTTCGGAGTCTTTATGGAAGGCGGTGAATAGTTTTCAGTCTGACTTAGAGGGGAATGATAGAGAATCATGAAGTACACGGGTTATTCCAGGTGTTCACCTGGCAAATGAAAGCCCTTCGAGTGGAATTCTGATACGCGATCAACTAACAATTGTTCCATCGTTGCAAATAGATCTGAGTCAGTAGAAGTTGTGCCCTTTCGAGCTCGTTTTATTGTATGGAAATAGAAAATAAGTAAATAGAGGAAAGGTCGAATGAGTACCACTGTTGGTTTATTAGAAAGAGACCACAATTTCGCCAAAACATCCATAGTTTCGTGAGGCGAGTCGTGAGCAGGTGAGTCGTCATGTAGAAAACCCTTGTATAAATTCCTACCACGACTCCTTTGATGGACGTAAGATGTTACAACCATATTGCAGCTTGACAACTTGAATATTGAGTGGGCAGTTAGTCAGCACAGCGTCCACCTACACTTCGGCCATGTCCTTTCCTGCTGATCTTTGTTCTTAAATCTCTTTGACCTTCGAGATTGTGAGTGCTCCCATTGCACTGACTTCTGTTTGGCCTCGAAATCCTACTAGTGCAACCATAGTTCTGTCCAGTTATCTCCGTGGCTTAGACAACACTTTTTAACAGCTGGTTATGATAAGTTCCCATCACTCAACGTTTGATTCATACATTCGTGAATTACAGTTTCCTATGTATTTAGGAGGAATATAAGGTTGATGATGGCTTCGAGCTCTTAAAAGAAAGTTGCACACATTTTATTGACATGGTTAACTTTGTGACCTGAAACAAAGTGAAAGCAAACTTTTGTGATTTTGTATTCGCTGTTTGAAAGTACAAACAAACACCAGCCAGTTGTCAAGTATTCCTCAGATTTCAATAATGGGGACTTGAGAGGAACGATTTATTCGCAATTCTGCCATTTCGTTGAGTATGTGACAACATGCTGCTTCAAAAGTCAGTTAGTGACAATTTCCTACCATGATTTGGCTGTTGACGCACGTATTTGTTCTTCTTCTGTCCAAAGAACAGCAAGAGATGTACTGATTCATGGGATATGACTAGTTTTAACTAGGAGCGGATAGTAAATTGGGAGGCCAATTCATGTTCCAAACACAAAGTGACCGTGATCCCTTTCACAACGGAAACTACTCACAAGGTTGCTGGAAATTCTTCGACAGCCCACGACTAGTTTCGCCCTTCTTGGGGCTCATCAGGTAGGCGCAGTCCCCGAGTTTCCGTCAACCTTACTTTCTACTTGAACTCAAATTGGATTGTTTTTCGAGAAATACATTTGCAAGATTAGTTGAAGAATGTTATATGCGAGAGATTCAGTTGAGTCTCTCCTGAAACCAAATTGATTTGCAAATGAGTGTATTTCTCGATGACCGCAGTCCTCTTTGTACCGGAAACTAGAAACTCATGTTAACCTAGCTCCAACTAAACGCCGTGCCTATTTTGTCTAACGAACCTCCGCAGTACTTGGATGAAAAATACGACTGAAGTACCATATTCTCTTCTGAAGTCAAATGAGAGGGACTTCTATGCAATATAGCCAGCCCTTGGAAACCTTATGTAGACTTGCACGTAGCACCACATATTTCGGTGAAGAAGTTTCGATAGATGTGGAATTTTATACCTTTTTTTTATCTGTTTAGGTGAAAGTTGTTTTTATCCCCACAACAGCAAAAGCATTAAATCTTTTTTTCTTTTTTCATCCAACCCCCAGGTTGCACGGCCACCTTCACCCCGGATTTGTGGTCTTCTTCTTATTGGTTGTCCATCAGTCCGTGCTATCGGTGAGTTGGTGAACAAGTGAGCCTACAGGCAGCTAGTCACTCGGTTATCTCATGTTTGTATAACACATTCGGATTATATACATACCTCGTCTTGAAACTGGCTCGGGTTTGATTCGGCGAGCTACTTGGACGCGTTGATTGCTTGCTTATTTCAATTCTTTTGGGTTGTATTCATAATTCTCACCATCGAACAGTATTACATTCTGGTGCCACATTCTAATTTCTCTCATTGTTGGCTTGCCAGTTTTATCTGGCTTCAGCCGACCGTTTTTTGAGTGGCTCACTTTTCTCCAATTGATATTATAGATGAACGGGAAATATTTCACTTCCATTAATTTTTCATACTGAATTATCTGTGCTTCACGCGATAGACGGACATTGTGGTAGTCACACTGATAAAAATTTGGCAACAGTCACTGAGAGACAAAGGCTGTTGTCGCTCTGCAAACATTTCCGCTATCGAGGATTTAATTTTCTTCCTTGTAATGTGGTCACCCACCTTTTCATTGCGACTTTTGATTCCTGATGTTGAAGAGAATGCTGTTAACAGGACTTCAGTACCTCAGTACCTAAAGGCATGATATTGGTGAGCGCATCGCCAAGCCGAAATTCATGACTGGCACTGCGCACTGATGCTGACGCTCGGATTGGTGAAGAATTTTCAACACCTACTTGTCAAACTCAATGAACAGTTCAACCGCAGACAGCGTACATCCCATTGAGAGTAATATAAACTATATGAGATTTCATAAACCCCTATTACTGGTGAACATGTCTTATTTTCGTAATGCACTACTCATAAGGTTGCTGAAAATTTGTCGAAGAATTTTCAACAACCTTGTGAGTAGTGAATTAAGAATATACATGTATCGCAATATCTCGAATATCGTACCAGCTGAAACATGAGGCTGCCTGGTGCAGCACTTTCACTTGCCTGGAAAAATCACAAACGAGAGATTCAGCTTGGTTCCAGGTGAGTCTCTCGCAGAACCAAATTTGTTTGCCAATGAGTGTATTTCGCTAATGTCTTATTTTGTCTACAGCTGTAAGAGAAACTTCTCTATGACTACAACGACAAGAGTGTTACCAAAAGCAGGGCTAAAGTAATGTTACAGATTCACTTCCAACCCAAAATTCGAAATCAGCTTGACTTGTAACCACTGTGGTTGAGAACCCCTCAATATAGTATTTAATATTCAACAGATATCGTAATTTTCTGCTGAGTGTACGGCCCCTACCTGAATAAGCGCACTGGTACTTCAACTGAATGTCTTCCCAGGCAGCGCTTCATCGTCTTTCCGGTCAGGTGCAATTTTATACGCGAGACACATGAGACGTTGTTTTGCATTTTGACAGGAACTGAAACACTACTGAGCTAGTTTCAGTAAACCAGCTGCACTGAACTTGCACGATAGTCAGAGAGTTAACCACTGTTGTCCCGATGTCAAGAAAAGGACGTTGTTGGAGTTATGCCCACAATTTGAACGAAAACATGGTCCAGCTGAGCTAACTGAATGATGACACTCAAGTCAGCATCGTTAGATCTGAAGCACGGGAACAAATTTGACCTAAAAGGAAAGTGGGCAAGCGTTGACAAAATTGGACTATCCAAAGATGTTAGTCTACATTTTTCCAAGTCCTTTTCTTGTATGCATCTTGGAAGAGGGTTCCTGAAATAAGCAGAGGAAAATGTTAGATTATCCTATGAATTAAAGGTAGCTTCCTAATAAGTGAAATTGAATGTTAGAAACTACGATTTCCATGTAAACTGTTTTCTAGTACTCAGTGGCCATGTTTAGGTTTATTGGCTATCGTGTTTGCGCTTTCAACTATCATACGGCAACTGTATTATATCTTTTTTTCTGTCTTGGAACATTCCCCAGAAAAGTGCATTGACATATGTACACCAGACAAGTGCCAGTGCTTGGGTAACAAGGGCCATGAGGTAAGTAACACGGCCGCGTAGCCCTGGTTTATGATATCTGAGTAGCTTGAACCTAGCAAACGGGCAGTGACCGAAATACGAATAGAAGGTTCTCTTAGATTTACAGCTAGATTCGCCACCAAAAGGGTCTCCGCAACACGCACAGTCTCTGACATGTGAAGAAAGTAGGTTCAACAGTTCAATCGACGGAAGAATACATAACCTGAAACCCGCTTGAATAATCTAAACCATTCCCTTATACCTTATTTCGTTTTCCGTACTCCGCGAAAATGTGTTTTCAAGTTTACTTTAATTCACTCAATAGTGTAAAACGCTAGCTTTTATACTGACATGATGCCTGTTGAAGTCGCCCACAGTGTGGCTTGATCGCACAAAATTGTGAATTGGTTTGACTTATGAATAGGTTGAAAGTGTACGCGTCCTTGATACACTCCGCTGAGCAGTCTTCGTACATCCTCATAACACGTCAATTTCCTAGTCTAGATCACGTAATATCATAAGCCTTGACATACCCAGCCCAAGCACAGGCAGCATGTACAAAAGGACACGCCTGGGGGTGGACATAAGCAGCTAACCTACCCATCACAGGACTGGTGCTCGAACAACTGAGCCGCTGGCTTCCGTTACGCTCATGCACCCAAAGTTCACAGGTGATTCGCCACACTTCTGCCTAGTGAGACAACAGCTGATATCTGTCGGTGCCATTAGTGAGCCCCTAGTGTGATTTCCACGATGGGTCAGATGTTGAAATGAATCAGACAAGAAGGCTTGCATATGAATCATTAGAGGAAAAGGGGGACTTGACTGAACCGAAACTGAGTCGCTCTTTACCAGGCGAGCCTTTTCTTTCGTGTTGTTAGTGCGCGGACCTATCACTGCAAGACCCAACATATCCCCCTTCTACTTTCTACGATGGCGAAAATGTTCAAGGTCAGCTTAAGGTGACCGTCTGCACCAGAGCATTTCATACTCTTCCAAGGTTTTTGAAACTGACCGTGACCTGTGACATCATTTACGTGGCTAAAGTGAACTTTTTGACAGAAAATTCCTGACAGGGATGTTTGTTTCGTGGTTGTGTGAGAGTGGCTCTAGTAATCTTCAAATTGAGACACCTTTCTGTAAGTGAAGTTGAAAAGCCGAGAAGCACTGTACGCTTGTTTGATCCTTATTGAGAGTCATCAGCAGTGCACATCCCACAAAAGTCCAGTACGAAGCTTCCATCCCGCGACCTGCCGGCTAGCGGGTTGAACAGTTGATTGTTCAGCTACGAGCGGCCTATCAACAGCGTGATAACTCGCGCTTAGACATATCTGGTTCTTGCATGTGAAATTATAAGTCTAGACTTTCAAACTTTATGCATTTCATTTCGAATTTTCCTCTGCCCGGATTAAAACAATCAGGCCAATAAACTGGTTGAGTATTTCGCTCATCACGGTTTGCGTATAAGAGAACTGGAATTATTGATATAGGAGACGCAGAATGCGGAAGTCAGAACTTGTAAGACGGAATGCATTGTTTAGCGTAAAAGTGAAGCTTCTCCCATGCTAACTGATATCGAGCATATTTAGGCTGTGTCAGTCGAACAAATATAGAAATTGCAGATTCATTGTTCTGTCCACGTAAGATAAGAAAACGAACAACAGTACATAAACCACTCTATTAAGAACTCTCACCATTGCCTTCACTTTTTGGAGCAGCATTTCACTGTTAGTTGAGTGGTTTCAGAAAACCCCTATTTCATCTTCATGGACTAAAGTTAAACTGATTTGTGTGGGGAGTACAAGGTCATTTCCATAGGATTCCATGTCGATGAACTCCACGGTTCCGTTTCACACTTTCTTATCTCAGGGACGTCCCGGTCCCATGGGTTCGTTTGGACCTGAAGGGCCTGTGGGAGAACCTGGCGTGCCGGGAACGCAAGGTGAAATGGGCGATAAAGGACATATAGGGATGACAGGCAAACCTGGACCAAAAGGCATCGCGGTAAGCGTACAGTTTCTCCATCGTTGTTTGTGTCCATTTGCGTTACAGGCCTAAGAGAGATGGTTGATTGTAAGTTCAGCTTGGTGATTAAAGCGAGCAATGTGAGGCGACTTCTATAGAATTGAAGCTAATGAAACAGAAACAGAACTTTATGTTCGTATTATCGTTTAGGGCGCCATGACATTAGATATTCGAACTTGTACTTATAGTACATGGATTAGACTATGTTGACATGATTCAACTAACAAACGGCATCTCAGGTTTCCTGGTCAGCAGTGGCGATCTGTGTGGGGCCGTCCTGTCAAACCCCCTTTCCCACGAAGCTATTAAATTTAGGCTAGACAGGAGTGAGGTGGAGCAGGAATACTGACTCACTTTTGTATAGATTTTGAACTCGGATGACGTAGTTCTGGAAGTCTTCATGCTGGTTTCCATCTTAACTTGAAAGGCTTTGGTGAACTCGTGAAAATTGTCCAACTATACAGGTTTCCGTAGAACGTTCTGTTGTGTTTCTGTTCCAGTATAATTGCACATTAGACCCAAAAATCCAAAATTTATAATAACATTTCTCTTTTATCTGATCAGGGGGAACTTGGACTTCCAGGTATTCCTGGAGTACCCGGAGAGGTGGTAAGTATTAGAAAATGACCCATTTTCTGACTTGAGTTGGTATAAACAGGGACACCCCGGAGTTCGAGGACCACCAGGAGATCCTGGGGATTCTGGTTGCGTCGGGGAAACGGTAAGTACGTTCTAACTCTTATTCAACATAGCTGGGCGAAGCACACTGACCAGACGCATTTCAACTGTGCTCTTGTTGCTTGCATAATTTAGGGTGATTTGGGGCCAAAGGGTGAACAAGGGCTTCACGGATCTCCGGGTTATCCTGGCCAGCAGGGACTGAAAGGCATGAAAGGATTCCCAGGGGACTCCCGGCAAGGATTACAAGGTGCCAAGGTAAGAAAATGTCCTTTTAGAGTGGTTCTTTCTAGTCAACTGCTTACTTACTGATGTAGGCCTATGTTTCAAATTCTGTATTGACAAATCCGTTTCCAGACACCTGAATTGGTCATAACTGAACAGCTCATTTTCGCTAACCATTTGTGTGACTTCTCCAGCTGTATCACGATGTGAAAAGGAAAAGGAACTGAACTTGTGTCCAGATGGAAGGTTCTACAGTAAAATGAAGATTAGAAGTTCCAAATGGTATTTGCAAAGTTGTCCGTGGACAGAGAAAGTACGGTTAAGAAGAAAGCATGCCCTACAACAGTAGGCCGAATAAGTAGTGACAAAAGCGTGTCTTAACGAGCGATTCGGGGTACAAATTGTGAACGTGGCTTACGTACCGTTCGAGAAAAAATGCTCAAACTGTCCGGTAGTTTGGTGAAACAGGAAGCACCGTATGGCGAGACGGAGCCAAGATTTCTGCGTGATTAGCACATTACCACTTTCCTTGTGTCGCGGGACATGTATGTATGTTTGTGGTGCATTTCATCTGCAAGACTGAATCCACACAGACAATCCCCAACAACGCGTATCGATCCATTTTGACTAAGCGCACTGGATTCCTTTTATCACAGTTACCGCACAAGAGATTAGGGTGATTGTTAAACTGTTCACCAAATTTGGAAATTGGCTGGCGAACTTCAGTTAAAAGCATATCACCGACCACGCACCGATGAACCAACAAAAATTTGCAAGCTAACTGCCAGGCTCCGCAAGTAGATTAACAGCTGTCTGATTGAAAATTAGCAGCCGCTCTCAGATACCAACATTTCGATACATTTTCGAAAAAGCAGTACCTTCATATATGCGATACATTTCCCGGATTTGAAAAGAAACATCCCCGTGATTCCAATTTTTTTAAATTTTCATCCTCAGGGCGAGCCCGGAAGTCCTGGAGAAGTCGGATTGCAGGTATGAACACATGTCAGCAGATGCAAGATGTTTAATGTGCTAATCCATGAGCAATCTATTTTTATTGGTTTTCTCCTCTCTGCTTTTTATTCTCTTATTGAGTTGATTTGAGTAATTAAACACACTCTTGGCAATGACAGTTCATTACAACTAGCCTGGTAGAATTGATGAGCCATGATTTAAATGATAAAAAAACCTTAATAACAGTAGCATTTTGTGTAAAATAGTATCCAAATATCAGCCATTACTGTTACCACCACTTTCTAGCTGCCACGTTTACTCAATGCCGTATTTTGTACACCTGCGATATTTCATCCCGTTTCATATGAGCCTGATCTTTTTGCATATAGTTTTCTCAAGTAACAGAATATTTTTTCCACTTGTTACCAACCCCTTAAAGGGCGACGTGGGCGAAAAAGGTGAAATGGGTGTGACTGGAAAGCGCGGATTTGATGGTTCACCAGTGAGTTAGTTTACTTGAACAGTAAATTTTATGCTCTTGCTTGTGAGAAATTCGATGTAAGCAACAAGCGAACAAGAAACTTCTGGCTTTAATATGTGAGCACAGAAATCCAGTTTGTCAATTGTTGAAAGCATTACTAGCATTACTGCGCAATAACATATGGAAAACAAGCATGATATAAAGAGCAGCATGTCATGATCGATAAGCTCTGCAAAAGCTGGCAAATCTGTGGCTGTTTTCAACCAATCCGTAAGCCTGATGTCCGGTCATGAAATCCGCGTCGCTGTTTAAGTAGCCCGAACGACACTGTAACCGTTCATCTGTTGGTCGCCCTTTTCAGGGTTCTCAAGGCATTCCAGGGGAAGTTGGGCCTCGTGGACCCAACGGCACTTACACGTATTATAACGTTATCAGGGGAGACCCCGGTCCAAAAGGCCAACCTGGCCCTCCTGGATACAATTGCGAGATATCGGAAGAAGAGCTGCTTCGCATTCTTCAGGGCCCCACAGGTGACGTGGTGAGTACATTTGAACTTTTTGTGAGTACAAAAGACTCTGTAAACTATTTGTGTCACAGGCCGGAAACCAATTTATTCGTCTTACTATTTATAATTTTAGGGCTTTACGGGACCCAAAGGATTTCCTGGTTTACCTGGGGAGACTGGAGATGCGGTGAGTCACGCTAAGTATGCTTTAAGGCTGTTAACCTACAACATGTAACACAGATGGAAGGCGGGTAACTTCATGTTGATCCGCAGATGTCCCACCAAAGCCGTTTAAAACACAGTGATGACTACACTTGTTATCTGCGTTGAATATAATTAAGTTTAGCGTAGTTCGTCAAATCTAATGGAACATGGATTGTTCTCCCTATTGTGGATTCCAGAAAAAATTCCTGGCAAGAAACGGACAGAATAAGTAAATAATCAACACGCGTCGCTTTCAAACAGCCTTTGGAACTTGTTGCGAAGTTTAGAAAGTAATGTAGCCTAATATGAAAGCATTCCTGAATCCAGCAAACTAATCTGGTTTTTCGAGAGACTCACCTGGAACCAAGCTGAATCTCTCGTTTGTGATGTTTCCAGGCAAGTGAATGTGCTGCACTAGGCCGCTTCATGTTTCAGTCGCTACGGTATTCGAGATATCGCGATACATGTGTATTTGTAACGCACTACTCATAAAGTTGCTGACGAATTTTCAGCAACCTTATGGGTAGTGCATTACAAAAATTACTGAATCTAGATTTGGTATAATTTGAAGAGACCTAAGTGTTGGATTTATCTCCGCATTCCTCCTTCAATTGAACGGTGCTGATTAGATGGAAACAAGCTACTATTGAGACTCTTCCCGAAGGCAGGAAAGTCGTTTACTTAATACATATAGTGCAAGTAAAATTTTTGGGAATCGGTTTTGGCATTAGCCTTGGAAAAGCATAGCGATTACTGATTCAATCCTGCCGAGAATGACACTGCCTTGTTTCACCGTTCTTGTTAAGAAAGTTGTCAGTCTTGTTAGAATCATCCTGGTAGCCTAAGGGAAACACCAGTATATGGTGTGACATCTGGCAGAGTTGTATATGGCTGAGATGAATTTGAGTCGCTAATCACAAATTTGCCGTTTTATTTGATTACACATTGAATGTCGACATTAAGTAAACTCAGCCTATCTGGCTCACCTATATTTGACCGAATCAACATCTGGCTTTCGTTAAGCTATTTTTTCTACAATACACTCCCTGGTCCTTACGAAAACGATGAGATCTCGTTTTTTTTAACCGTTTTCAGGGCTATGAAGGCACCACCGGGGTGAAGGGTGAAAAAGGACGTCCCGGCGACGAAGGTCTACCGGTAAGTTAGTTCAGTATTCCTCGAATGTGCGCAGTATTTTACATTTGTTAGTTCCAATTCTTTTCTCGGATGTAAAGATCAGAGTACTTAGTTGAACAGTGACACATCTTTGGTAAATTCAATTTAAATAACTTGTTAGGCAACGTCCAGTCCTACTCCACATTAGAATCCACTATCTTCCTGGCATGTCGCGTTCACTTTTAGCCGAAGTATAAACCATTTACACAGGAGAGAACGCTAGGCTTTAGAAGGCAACGTTTTTCTCGTTGAGATGTCATCTCAATGGGGACCAGACAGTCATTTGGGTGTGTGGAACGGAGATCTTTCTCATCTTGCTCATTGACTTTCCCGTACGTACAATGCTGCACTTTGATGGCGTAGCCTTGCTTTTCTCATGGCATAAACTAAATCATCAGGATTTCATTCTGCTGGACTGCTAGGCTGATGAACTAGTAGTAATCGTTAGTCCTCGAGGTAGCTCAATGACTGACGTACAGAATTTCCGTGATTCGAACCCAACTCCGGCATCTCGACTACTCCTGTCTAGGCTTGGGCAACCTGGCATTACCCCAGTCCTCGTGCTTTCTTCAAGTGACATAACGGCAATGCACCGAAAGAGTGCCACAGCTGGTTAAATTGTTTTCTATTTTATACGTCCGGTTGGCTTGACCGTTGAGCAAGAACCATGCGCTGAGTGGAGAATATAGAGCCGCAAATAGAATATGGACACATATCGGATTATTTGCGATCTGTTCATAGATGCGAGTGACTGAGATTCAATTCATTAAACTCTGAGTGTGGGTTATGTCAAATAATCATAGGGTCTTTCTCTACATGAAATGCAATTTAACCGTTACGCCACTGTAGTTGGTAAACTGATTTCGTTCATCCTAAACACCGTTGTTTGACTGTCTAATATCACTCTCCCTGGAAAAGTGGTGAACACCGGGGTGTTTGTTTTTCTCTGTTGCAGCATTTGGTATTCAATGTCGCACACTTTATTGACATCATTCTACTCCCTTGAACGCTAGATCGTCAACTAACTGGAATTTCCGGAAACCATTTGGGCACTAATGTGCTTTTCAATGATCATCCACCTATTTGTGCTTTAGAAACAGCTTACTCCTTGCTTTTCACTGGGATTAGATGGCATTCACATACGTCAAGAAATCAGCAGCCATAAAGTAAAGCCACATGATGAGATGCAACATTAAGCAACAATAAAGAACCCCCAAAAACAGCATAGGCAGTTGGAAAAAACAATGTGTACTGACCTACAGTAGTTCGTATGGTGAACGTCAGCTGGAGTGTAAACAAGTGCATTGGTCCGCCATACTGTATACATAGTTCGCAAAATGAAAAACTTTGTTTTCTCCTCGTTACCAATTACCTAGCAGTAACGTTGCGGTATATGTAGTGCGAGTTGGCTTCGGAATTTCCTCTGTATGGCACTTCGTTTGTTTTGTTTCTATTCTAGGGTGACCCCGGAGAGGATGGAGATCCTGGTCCACCGGGTGAAATGGTACGTTTTTGCTTGTGATCCGCTACACTGACTATTCTTTCGCTCGTTCGAAAGCCGACAAAGAAAAAATGTTGGTGGCTTCCGGTAATAGTCATCATCAGAAATGCTGTTATCTACATCCAGACATCCTCTCTCGGGCACACCTTTTTTGCGTAAACTTTGATCCATTTTCAAATTAGCTTCAAACGTCTACAACTGCAAGCAGACATAAGACTTTGCAGTAAGCCATTTCGACCTTTTGGAACGACAGGTTGGTACAACCTGAAACCACCGTTTCCCAAGGTGATAGAGACAGTCAAATAATTGTTAACCAAGGAAATTTTCCAGCTTTTTACCTATCCAATTCGTATAGCTTTTTTCCCGAATGGTAGTTGTGTTTTTTACTGCCGCTGAGGAGAAAAACGAATGATCAGCTGTTTACCCGAAAAAGTCACCATCTGCTGAATTCGCTCACAGAAAGTGCAGGTGGCTAGAACAGTCGGTTTTTGGATATGCCTGTGGACGACAAGTACCCCAGCACATTTATCAATCTTACGTAGGTTTGACTAATTATAGAATGCAAACTTTTGTGCTAAATTTTACATTATCTAGAGATTTATAATAGTACATTGTCACAGTTATGGTTATGTACTTCTGAGGCGACGAACGTGGGATGAATATTGATTTACTCCTTTGTTGGTTGGCTAAGCACATTGTTTGTGTCGTAAATAAAAGAAGATTGACAAAAAGCTTAGTGGTCCGTTATTCGAATTATTATTTTTTTAAAATATGCAACGAGGAGATGTCCTTGCAAGGACTCGAGTTTTACAGGGGACCGCATGGCGTAATTCGCGTGGCATTCATCGACCTGCCTTGATTCTTTATGTGACTACAACACTGTCCAGTTATAAAACGCACTGACAGTACCAGTGATTACCAAGATGTGCCCAGAGCAGCAGCTTGATAGCTCAGAATGTTCAAGAAGCCTGATGGCAGAATACCTGTGTGTACCCAGTTAAGAGATTAGTAATCCACACAACCGGTAGGTACAACCGTTATGCATATAGTCGTCGATGTGGACGAATGTCACTCTGGAACTTTCACTGGCTTTTCGTCGCAAAATGTGGGGATAATGTGGTGGGTCGATGGTTGGGGAAACTGGATGCCATAAAATTTGTCTAGTAACTCGAAAGCAAGTCAAAAATAAAAGGGAAGAGTCTGTTTGCTTTGGACTGCCCTATCACCTAAACCATTCCGAAGATCCACTGTAAAAATTGCTGCAGGTTAAGACAATGGTCATGTACGACCACAGCCGAGTTAGAACAACATTCATTCGAAATTACTTTGAAAATGGATAAAAGTGGAGATTTTGCTTTGTAAATGAAGCCAATCTATGTATAAAAAAATCAATAAGCGCTTGCAAAACGAAATCTTCCAAATCTCCTCATACTACCAACAATCTATAAGTAACTTGGAGGAAGAAGAAAATTCAGCCAGCGAAAGAAACTCCCACATGAGAAGTCGTTGCTCGAGCCAGTCAACACATGCTACCACCTAATGTGCATCCCATGATTGAAAGATCAGTGGTGTAATATCCTGTCTGAGTGTGAGTTAATCACACAGCCAGTCGGCTGCTGTTCGCCATTTTATTGGCCTGGATGTCGCGGGTTCGAGACTGTCTGCAGTTTCGTGAAATGCGCCCGGCTGATGATTCCCCATAAGGATGAAGCAACTGTAGAGCGTTTATCAGCCTTTCAGTATAGACTGGATTCACTGAAAAGACAAAATCTCAATTGAACATGTCTAAATCTCCTTTCACTACCAATATGAATAAACATAGCTGTTAGTAGGCCCACCTAAGCCCCAGGAAGTTCGAAACCGCTAGTGGACTGTACAGAGACTTTCGAATGTTATATTACTGTTTCAGCAACCGACACTACATACCTCAATCTTTGGAGGGACACGGAGCGTAGCCTTTTGTTTCTATGCTATTCACCTAAAGGTAGGTGAGTGACTAAAGCAACGTTTCGTGCACAAACTGTCTGTCTTGTAACAGCGTGGACTGGTCGTCCGTTCACGCTGTGCTGCGTGTCTAAACAGAGAGATGAAAACTGGTATAACACCTTGCTGAATCAGGCTTACCATAACTATGCTCCCATCAACAACACGCGTGTTTGATCTTCACGTTGCCGTTTACCACTGCAACTTTCTCAAATTTCTAAATTTATCATTATACTTTTCAGGGTGAGTCAGGAGTTGATGGTCCACCAGGTGGGCCTGGAGGTCCTGGTGCTAAAGGAGATCGTGGTGCCCATGGTAGAGACGGACAACGAGGGTCCAAGGGAAAACCCGGCCCCCCAGGCGTAAGTGATCTTTGTAACCTCACCAAAGGTCACATCGATGTTTTACTTAACAGGCCAGGGTGCTGTCTGTTTGTTGCACTGGTTGGATCAGGTGATGTATTTGTTGTGAGACTGAACTCCGTGCTGCCCGACGGACTTATAGAATAACGGCTAGTAACGGCGAACTTGAGTTGTTGATCAAAACCTTGCATAGATGAAAGATTTGGGACTAACAGAGAGCAGGAGAATTTTAAAGCGAGCAAATCTCCTTCCTCCAGTTCAGTTGCCTTCATGATAAAATGGCTTTGGTCTATGACGGACGGACCTCGATGGACAACAGAAAAAATACAGTCAAAGTTTTCCGGAACTCCAAAGTTGATGAGATGTGATGAATGAACCAAAGCATTCGCAGATCTAGTTGACTGTAGGTTGTTTCTCAGTATGCTCAATAACCTTCATGCTTATTGGGGCAAAAGTGTCATTTAGTTCGCTTCACCCGAAAACACAAATGACCGACAACTGCGATTAGCTCACACAGTCTCAAGGTCTTGGGATCCACTTTGTCAACGTCACAAAAGAAAACTAAATGACAATCAATTAGAATGCTTCACCTGTCTCTACGCCCTTTTCTAGCTACATGTTGAACTTCCTCTAATCATATTATCGTCTCTCCAAATCACCTCTCGTTCCGGAGGAGGGACACATCTACTTGACACAGAAAATCCACCAGGACATTACGAATTCGAATGCCATGAGTTATCGCAAAAGTTTATCCAAAGAATTCCACCGAAGTAATAAAATCAGAGTTCAAATCAGGGCTGTGGCGACTTTGGTAATGACGATTAGAGCTTTACGCACCCAACATGACAGTGCTTGAACTCTCTGTCACCAACAAGTAAAGACCAGATATCTATACTTCCTGGAAAATATCCGTCCGTCGGTTTTACTTGGCCCATTATCTGGAAATGTTAAAGTATGACTCACAGCTGGTGGTGAATATCGGAACAGATATACTTACTTCCAGCCCTAACGTGTCATGTTTATTAGTTGCTGACGAAGCCATTTTGTGAGCCGGTTTACTGAAGCATTCAAGATTTTATTGTCATCAAAGATTCTTCGGATTTTAATGTGATGTGTACTCCTGAACTCTTTTTTTGCCCACCCCTCACCTTCAGAAAATGGCCTGCCCCGCCGGTGATACCATCAAGGGCCAAAAGGGTGAGCCCGGTTATCCAGGTGAAAAAGGTGAGGCTGGTGACATCGGGCAACGTGGTAAGACGGGCGAAAAAGGCTTTCGCGGTGACGAAGGTCGACGGGGACCAGAAGGAATACCCGGACAACAATGTCAGCCCGGGCCCTTTGGTCCGGTAGGACGAAAGGGCGAGCCTGGTGAGTTCTTGGCAAACCTGATATGTATGTTGCAGATATCTTTTGTGGTCAAAATTAGCTCAACCCCATCAAGGCCTACGATTTTCCGCCAGAAACTTACCTTAAAATAGCACGTTCTGTGAATGTCGCAGCAGATTCGTGATATGTATAAAGAAATGGCCATAATATCCATCCGATAATAGCAAGAGAATGGCAATTGGAAAATGTTTCAGTGGAATCGAAGCCAGTGCTGTCACCCAGACTTTCCTAGTAGTTGAAAAGCAAGATCGACGTGAACTACTCAACATCTGTTCTTCAGTTACTAGCAATTCGATACTGCCATTCTTACTTTCTATTTCGCTCACCTCGGACAGGTCACAGCAGGTTGATTGACGCTTGTCACCCACCAGATAACTGATTAACTTTGCTGCTTTATGTAAGCTTCTTCCGACATGCTGAGGCTTCATAATCCTTTTTTGTTCCACTATGATCACCTAGTTCATTGGTAGAATGCCCCTCTACTAAGTCAGTTGAGTTAGACAGTTTTTCGCTGTCTAGATCAGCTAGCATACCCCTTGCCCTAACACAAAGTGAGCTACATCAGCCATGTTATTGGGCACTTCCATAGACACAATACACAGTGAATTTTTCAAGTTCATTCCACTACACTGCACTACATCATTAGGTGCAACGTTACTGAAGGACTGGAAGTCATTATACCAAGGATCCTTAAAATGAGCGCTTTTTGCCCGGTTCATGGCGTGCGACTAATGACAGACTTGAATATTTATATCCGGTATCCTGTGGTAATATCCGAATTTATGAGACCCCTGTGAGAACAAACCAGCTATAGATAGGGATAAGACGCACGATTAGGATGGTTTGTTGAGTTCTCACAAAGAAACTACTCACAAGGTTGCTGAAAATTCTTCGACAGTTCACGACCGGTTTCGCCCTACTTGGGGCTCATCAAGTAGGTGCAATCTCCGAGTTTCCGTCAAACTTATGTTCTACTTGAACCCAAATTGGAATGTTTCCAATTTGCAAGTCAATCATTTGCAAGTCAATCTGGTTTTCAGGAGAGACTCAACTAAATCTCTCGTTTATGATATTCTACAACTGAATGTGCTGCACACAGACCACCTCATGTTTCAGTTGGGACGATATTCGAGATGTCGCATTATATTTTTAAGTAGAACATAAGATTGACGGAAACTCGGGGACTGCGCCCACCTGATGAGCCCCGAGGAGGGCGAAACCGGTCGCGGACTGTCGAAGAGTTTTCAGCAATCGTGTGAGTAGTTTCCCTTATGAAAATATACTGCGATATCTCGAATATCGTGCCAACTGAATCATGAGGCGGCCTGTGTGCAGCACATTCAGTTGTACAATATCATAAACGTATTTGTTGAGTTCTCTTCTAGTTCATTCACACTGCTACCATCGCCTGATGTAAACATATTTTTTATTGTTGAAATTATGGTGAAGCTAATTCAAACAAAAACCTACGTAAACAGCCAAATAAGAGTGCGCAAAATGGTTGAATCTGTCTCCTACGGTCAGTGGTTTTTTCGTGAATATATCATACGAAAACGCAGCCATCTGACATGCTATGAACTTCATTAGGAACAACATTAGCAAACTGAAATATTTTTGCCGTAATGTTCTACCGATAAGCAGAAACACACTAGTAAGCAGCAAGAAAAAGCAACAAATGACCGCGAATGCCTTTACATGCGTCTGTTCGAGCGGATTATCACTAATTTCTTAGAAGGGCTGAGTAAACAATCGATAGTTTTCAACTGGGCCTTCTGAAACGATGACTTCTCAGTCGGTTCCAGACCTCTTCCAATTGTTTGATCATTACTTTTGTCTATGACTGTCAGTGAGTGTAAAAGCAAGGGAAGCTGGCATAAGGAAGCGTAAATGTACAAATACTAGGGATATTTTACTGATGATAACATGAGAAACGGAAATATCTAGTCAACTGTATTGGACATGTTAGGCTGCCGCTTACATAAGGAGGTTTACATATAGATAGGACCGATTAGAATTGCAAAGGCCATCTCGCTTTACTGAACGCTCATTAAAGTGAATAGTTTGGCTTTCAGTGATATAGAGGACTGAATTGTTGGAATGAGTGTGCTCATGGTGATTTTATTGCCTGGTTCCAGAATGGTCTGCATTCCAGAGTACGTTTAGCTGTGCGGACAACACTTGGCTGGATGAATAAAACGAGTTACATGAGCATTTCAGTCATCGAACAGTGCATTCGAATGCGGGATGCTAAGCCCTCAGGCCGTCCATGATCTCCAGTTCTCGGGTGTCCTCTCAAGATTTCCCCAGTTTCTGAAATATGCGGTCCTCAGCACTGCTAGTTTAATACAGAACCAGTTTGTTGCCAGACCATTTTATCGCAGACCAGCGTATGGCTCATGGGACGTAATTTCGTGTCGCGCGGTGCGTAATAGCAGTCCGGTCTTCCCGACTAGTTGGTTCTCGGCACTTGCCGCCACATGGATGCATTTGGTGGGAGGGTGCCGCATGAAGCTGACTGAGCGTGGAAATAAAAATGGAATACCGCACGAAGGTTGCCATTATGATTGATCGCTAGTAGTAATCAGTGTGTTAAACCAGTGACAGGGAACTGAATGTTAGGCGGAAAATACAGACTGGATAGCGTTAGGCCGAGGGACCAACTGGTACCGACTGCCCCCTGTTACACTGTGTGCTTCCATTTATTTTCAGTGCCTGTCTGAATAACAATGTTTGTAGTTCCTGTTTTGCCTGTCCTTCAAATCTTTGGCAAATGTGGGTGCACAGTACGAGCCGTCCCATGGTAGAAACAATGTTTAAAACATCCATGTATGACCATGAGTCACTGGCCTTATTCCTTCTGTTTTGAAGACGATAAATGGGTTAGCTATAAATTGGTCTACAATGGATCGACCGCGAGAATCTCTTGTTTACCGGCTGCGGTTCAGATAACATTGTGCGAGTTGGCCGAATGGATAGCGCCCATATATTGCCTTGGTAGATGAAATATGTGACGAACAAGTAGGATTTGCATTCGGTAACCCGCAGATGACAGATTCAAACGAGTTTGAAATAATCGTGATTTTTTGTCAATCATATGCGCAGCGCAAAGGCTGTCCGTAGGTTTATTTGGGCCAGTATTCAAGATATTGATATTCAAGATACCCATAAATAAGGCTAACTATTAGATCAGTTTTAGTTGACATTTTGGACAGTGCTGTGAACTGAATGCTGATAGAATAAAACAACTGCTGGATATGTCGTGGATAGTTGCGGAATTTCTGTGGTTCATCTATCAATGGAATAAGTTAACCGATCCAGACCGTAGGACTACTGCATTTATCTGACCAAAAATCCTGAGAAGACGGTTCCACACAATACTTGATTAACGATGACATATCTGGCACGCAGGCACACTGGAACATAATTGAATCTGTGACATTCATCTGAATCGGTTATCTGCGCAGATCATCTTCACTCTAGGGTAGTACAGGTGCTTGACAGACCAGGTGAGAACATGGTCCAATGTTTATTGTCCACTCATATATGAGTTGAATATCAAGAAGCACACATAATGAGAAATCGCGCGGAAATCCATCATCAGTTAGGTCACACATTAGAACAAGGCTAGGTTTGTAGTCACTAGAGTCTGACCTAAGACTGCATTTGTTTATGGGTCTCACGAACTCCACTGAAAGTGGTCTCTTTCCTTGACTAAGTCTACAAAATGAGTTTTCTTAATCACGTATCCAGTACGATGAATGTGTCCTATGAGAGGTACATGAGAATACATGCACAGAAATGGAAAATCTCATCTTAATTGCTCACCACAAAGGTTTTTGTCATTACACAATGAGTGATTGTGGAATTTTAAAAATAATATTTTCAACAAAATCTCGTTCAGGTGTCCCTGGAGAACCTGGACGTCCCGGGCGGGATGGAGAACCAGGCGTTTCCGGGGAGAGAGGAAAGCCTGGCGATGATGGAGTGGAAGAAATCGGCTATCCGGGTGCTGTTGGTGTTGAAGGCTTCCGAGGGAGAAAAGGTAGGCAAAATTTTTTATCCTTTTCCTCTGGTGACCACTTTTATGGAACTGAAAACAACCCAGTGTATGTGACTGATCTCTATTCGAATTAAAATGCTTTAAAAGGGAAAGTTTCGCCCAAGATTGTGCTGTCCGATTTGTTCTGACGACTGTGTTAATCAATTAGCTTCCGCAAACCAAGTAAAAGAAAGTATCGCCCTAATGAAGATATCACTGCAGGGTAATTTCGCCAGAAATTATCCTCCATACAGGGGGGCTTCTTTGGGACAGACATTGCAGTTTTCTTATTTCTTCTAGTGTAGCTGGAGGAAAGTGCTGTCAGTCCCGGAGTGAGCTGTTGATTCGAACCTTCAGAATACTCCCATCCTAAGAGGAATATGGGTTTTGTGATGCTTAGATTCAGTTAGGTGTATTGGAGTATGAAAATCCTACCCACGTAGCACACAGCTTAGACGACCTAACACCTTCAGTGATTCTGAGGCAATTCTAATTGCACGTTTCGGTCGTCAACAACGGAGGCATATACGAGTGGCAGCTCCTGGTCATTGGGGCGAATTTGAACTCTGGGGTAAGTTTTTGAGAGCTAGTCACCATCGGATAAGGTGGTAGCAACAGGTGTACGCCTCTGAAATACACAGAAAGCATGAAGCGTTCGTCTGTTTGCGGGCCCACTCAAGGGTGGAGGCGGTAATAAGCCGGAAAGTGACTGCTGCAAGCTTTAATCTAGATCTTTTTTTCAGCAAGCCGGCTTCTGCACTTTGTTTTTCTGTATGTATGCGTCATACGTAAGTCGTGCCCTTGCATACCAATCCATTGTACAAGCGCCAGACAAACGGACAGGCAAACTCCAGGGTTTGATATGCTACAGAACCCGGAAGGTTCAATATGTAGTTAGCTGCACATGAGCCGTTGATCGGTATTCTACGTGGATCGCAGGTTAAGTAAGCTTCTATCCTTAAAATACCGGCTTTAAAGATGATTCGAAGTTGAGAGAACAGAAGCATGTATGAAACAGATGACAGGAGACGACAGCGGAGGCATTTGGAGCGGTGAAAATTTGCCTCAAGTGACCGAGTAAAAATGAAAGCCTTAGGCTCACCACTTTTTGGGAATTAGTTTGTTCCTAGCGTAGGTTCATTGTACCGATGGAAAAACACGCCTAAATTAATTGAATTTATCATTTTGTGACGCGCTCTTTTTAACTGTAGGGGAGCGCGGTGAGCCAGGTGAACCAGGTGAAAAAGGATATGCAGCTTCCTATGGTATTGGAGAAACGGGACCGAGAGGTGAGCCAGGCGAACCAGGGGATGACGGCCATGTGGGAACCGACGGGTATCCTGGTCCTCCAGGACCAAAAGGTAAGTACAACATTTGGCTCAGGCCTATTGTTCGTTCTGAGGCTACTTGGTACGACTCACGCAGATGGTCTCCATGAGAAACGTAAGTGCAATGCTGTAGACAAAGAAGCTTTCAGTTCAAAGCTTCCCAACCTTGAGGGCGAAACCTCTAAGTAGACGACACCGTTCTTTTAGAAACATTTTAAGGTTCACTATGGCATGTTGTTAAAATCCTTATGGAAACACCGATGTATCGGACAAGCAAAACCTATGACAAGCATTTCACATTGTGGCACTGTGTGGTGGCCTATTACCAACCCATACCCCCTCTATTCATTCTGATGCATGAACTTATCGATACACGTGTTCAGTTTTCTCACGCACCGGCACATGGGTATAGATGACGGACCACTAAGTGAACAACTGCCGTGCTTCGAACCGTGTTTCAGAACCAACCCGTCGGATAATCACATCAGGGCTTTTATCACTGACCAAACTATAGTAATGCTTTCGCGTGCGTCTCCGTCGACCAGATCCAAGGTCCGAGACTGTCTCTGGCGTTCTATCATTGCTCTTTGCGAGTGGAGACACCTGCTCGTTACTCTAGGCATGACTTCTGAAGGCTTGTTTTCTAGGGAAACCGTAGCGCGAATGGAGCAGGCAACGCGAAACCGGCCACTAGTCCGCGAAACACTGGTGCTAACGCTTACGAAAAAAAATGAGAACACGTTTTTCTGCCCCCGGATGACGCGTTTGTGGAACTGAAGCAAAGGTCCAAAGTTGATAAGATGCATGGGAAACGAACTGCAGGACACTGACTACCAGACTGGTTATGTCAACTCTACAGAGTGAATTCACACACCTTTGGAACAGTCTGACCGGCCAGGATACAGTGAGAGTTGCAGTACGTTGTGATAACAATAGCCACTGTGTCACAGTGAACCTGCACTCGGCTGCTTTTTGCCCATACTAGAAACGTTGCAATTTCTGGCACAGTTCTGTAGATCGAAGTGACGGATTTAGGAAGTCAAACAAAGCAAATCAATTTCACAGCCTTCAATTGGTTGACTGTAGAATTCGAATCCTGTTATAACTTCCGCTGTTGCCTGTTGTGCTGTAAATTGAAACAAGTATCCGCCGACAGAAATTTACTCTGGAGAACGAATAAAGTGATTTTATTTGGATCACTTATCTGTTGACGTGTAGAATATGGACGAGATCCGCCCTTTTCCCAATGACACCAGGAAGGCTGATTGGATCGAAGGGTTGTCAAAAGAAAGTCATCGGTGAAACTCCTTCGAAAGGAATGCTGCGAAATAACATAGACTTATCATAAAACCGATGGTTACTATCAACAGGTATGATGATGGTGAGGACATTTGGTAACTTTCAAATGATCTTTCATATTGTTAGTAAAACCAAACAATGCTGAAAAGCCGAGAAGCACTGTATAGCTGTTTCATCCGTGTTGGGAATCATCTGCAGTGCGCATTTCACGAAACTTGAAGAGTTTTGAACTCCGGGCCTTCCAGCCGGTGGTTAAACACTTGAACGTTTGGTCGCGAACAGCTGATCAACAGTGTGACTGGCGCTTATCACTCGAGGACCTTGCTGATAGGTGACCACGTGATGCGGTTCCCGTGAGTGAATGATGAGTGTCCTGTCTAAGTGTGGGTTAAAGTCATACAGCTCTGTAGACTAATCTGCCAACTCGTCCATGGTAACAGGCTGAAAAGTTTGTCCTGAAAATTTTGTCCATCTTGAATATCTAACTTATAGGGAAACCACTGGAAGTTTGTCCGCTGTGCCCGGATGGTGAATTCGGGGATCGTGGAGATCCTGGAAGAATGGGCCCACCAGGATGGAAGGGAACAACCGGACTGTTTGGTGAGCGGGGTGATAGAGGTCCAGCCGGTGAAGATGCACCTATGGGGGCACCAGGTCCTAAAGGCATCAAGGTAAGTTTGATAGTGGGTCGCCACAAAGCAAAATCGGGTACATAGTCCAGTGAAGGATTTTCCGCAATTTCATTTCTTCGCCACTTTGTAGAAACGGATCGAAGCTGTCAGCACCATCCAGCCAGTCACACTAACGGGCTGAATCGGTCATGTGACGTACTGGCAAACATTTTAAGTATGACTGCGTCGCTACTTGGCTACTGGTCACATTTGTAAACGGGGTTCGTATTGTTTGAGTTGATTTTTTGGAGTATTTGAGATCTGCGATCATTAATTTGGTGCAAAAAATTATGCTGCCCACGGCTGCAACCAAGCAGGCTTTCTTCAATTTCCCAGCTTTGGTAGCCATTTGGTACTTATGGAGTTCGTGTCTTGTCCTCAATTTCGGTCCAACCACTGCATTCATTTCTTTGATTCTGGTATTAGATAACGGATCGAGGCAGGCATGCAAGCGTGTCTAAGGAATGCAGTTCAGATCCAGGCGGCCTTGAATAGTAAAAGGAAATGTTGACTCAAACCATACTTACTCGATAATCGTTCATTGGACAGAGTTTCAAGCGATCTTGCCATTTGTGGATTCTGTGGGACTTTAAAGCAGACAAAATGAACGGTTTTACTATGTAGTTTGATGGAGAACTTAACGACTTCTACATGGATTCCCAAAGAACTATTTCATCAGTCAAGTGAACCAATCACATCACTCAAACGTGAACACGTTAGTCTGTTCAGGCGTGATGATTCAGTTGCACCCAACATGCGCTGGTGAAGTGGTGCAAGCACACTCGCCTCACCTGTCTCCAAACGTGACACGTTAGTCTGTTCAGGCGTGATGATTCAGTTGCACCCAACATGCGCTGGTGAAGTGGTGCAAGCACACTCGCCTCACCTGTCAGAGGTTCGGAGTTCAAGCCCAAGCATGACCAACGACGCCCTGCTGGTGAGCTCATATAAGAGTAAAACTCTAGTCCGCTATTCCCCCAGTTTGGTGTGGACTCACCAGAATAATGGCGCTATGGCAAGGGAAGGTGTGTTCAAATGAGAATGGTGAGAGTCTGAAGTTTACGAATTCTAATGCAACCACTTGAAGTGTTAGTGCATATCACAGGGAAGTCCTCATGTAAGCGTATCTGAAGCCACTTCATTCACTGATTTTGTTCCTGAATACAGTAGGCAGGTATAGCTCGAACATGTGACGTGAAACAATGGAGAATGTATCTGAATATCGGTAAACCAGATGTGTTAATTGGCTGTCGATCAGGTGTTGGTTGATCTGTTCGGTAAGCCTCGGAATCGGCTTTGCAAACTCCTCGTTACGGGAAGGCATCGTCACTGACAGATCGTACTAACGATGTCTCGTCGAATGGGGACGAAACATTTGCAAGTAAATTGCCAAGCTCGGTGAATAGATCAGCTGCTACCTAATCAACAGCAACGTAGAAAATTTGTTTATTCTGATAAGAATGTGCTTACAGACAGAACAACTGTTTTTGAGATACGAAACTCGGACAGTATTGAAGCGACTCAGACGGTTTACCATCCCCTTGTCCGGCAGTTAACGTACAAACTAATACATAAAAAAAGTTTATCAAATTTCCAGGACCATATCCACCCGGTCTAATTCAGGGCGATACCAAACTTGCAGAACGTTGCCTGTCGGTTTCTATTGGTCATCATATCCTTTTCACAGCTGAAAGCATCAACATGCTGTGAGAAGTGAATTTGGACCACACTACCAATCGCACAATCGCAAGCTCAGTATGCAAACGAACAACTTCATAAACCTAAATCCAAGCTGGTGTTAAACACTATGGGTTTGTCAGCGTTTCATCACTGTTTCAAATTTAAGGACTATTTCGGAAATGACGGTTTTTGGCCTCTCTTGGCAAGAATGTCCAGCTCACAATGTTCCAGATAAACATCAGAATAACGCGCGATCATCTGGTTGCTTTGTGGCCCATTTTTGTGTTAAAGCATCTGCTTCGTCTACTTTCTGGCCAGAATACAAATAGAAAAATTTACTTCCATAGACATTTTATTTAGTTAGCTTGAGAAAGAACTTAACTGACTGTCTGACTTCTGCCTTGGGAGCGTCTGATCCGTGCCAAAAAGGTCGAAGTTGCCGAGTGAAGATTCTAGTTTTCCTTGGGACAGCCATTCGTGTCAGGGTCATTTCCATCTAATTAGAACAAAGACTTTCGTAAGGCTCTGTTGGTGTATATTTCCCAGCACCGCTAAACAATACTTCCTAATACACCCAGAGTGATTTTCGGATTTGTAGCCCGACAAAAGGCATCCCAAATCACACCAATGATAAATACATGACTCTTCTACTTATTTTCATTTTAGGGGATGATCGGTGAAACTGGGGACTTAGGAGAGCCCGGTGAAACAGGAGAGCCGGCGGTTGTCACTCTTGACGTAATGGAAGTGGTACCGGGTGACAAAGGAGAAGAAGGTCCTCAAGGTAGTCGAGGAGATGTAGGTGGTAGAGGAGAGGAGGGACCGCCTGGCGAACGTGGTGACCGAGGTCGACAAGGTCCTCCGGTAAGTTAATGCATCCGGTGAATTACTTGATATTCCAGCCTACCGAAAAACTGATGGAACAGTTTTTAACAAATGACATTTCCGATAAAACAGTAGATGAAATAGGGAGAACTGGGCTTCATTTGACACCAAGAAACTGTTGTTTACCTGAAACATCAAACATATCTCTTCACTTTACTTCGAATCGGGGGGGGGGGGGTCACATTCCACGAATTTCTTAACCCAAATAAGTTCACGAAGTATTCAATCCAGTGGTTTCTTCTTTGTTGACACGATTCCCACTGCAGCAAACTACTTTTCTGATGTACCACAAAAACTTATGCCTAAGCAGGAGGCACATTACCAGCCTGCAGTAGAGGGTCTGTGGTGGATCGGCTGTACATTTGGATGTCCGGTAACGTTTAATCGCTCACATTTTTCTAGAGATTGAAAAGGTTTTCTGAACGCTCCTCAAAAAAAGACGATATTCAACTCTGAGTGGCTTCGAATTCATTAGATTCAATGGAACTTCTTGCAAACGTACAAGTGAGGAAGTCGGTCTGATAACGGAAAGTGTGTGTTTTGAAATTATCATTTTATCCACAGCTGGAGCAGATACAACCCAGCTGTGTTTATACTGTGAAAATATCAAATATGTAATCATTTTTGCGCGATTTTGGCCATGTGTCTCTGCACAGGCTCGCATTTCCATATTTGTACATCGTGGTAGCGCAGGAGCACATGCGGTCGTGGACTGGCAATTCGCATCACACGTAACGTTGAAATCAATTAAATCACTATCGTAACGGAAATGGTACCATGTTAGCCGTTTACCGCAACTAGCCAAACAAGCAAACGACATATTTGTTTAAATATGAGCAAAACCGCCACCAAAGTAGCAGTCAGTATTGACCCATTCGTTTTGTGTCAAGTCCGCTGCTTGTGTCCCGTATTCCGACTGTGTCGTATGTGTCGCTGAAGCCTGCTGCTCACTGGGATATCCGACTGTGGTGAATTTGTGGTCGTTCGACTGCACCGACGTCCCTCATTCGTTGAGCTGCAGTACGTGGTCGTATCGTGATACACGCAAAGGGAGACCTCCAGAACGAATGTGTGTTCGATTTCAGAGTTTTTCAATGAATACCTTCGGCCGTTTACCCTCCTTTAGGACTTGTCTGCTACAAACGAGATCCGTTTATGGCTGTTCGTTCACATATTCGTTAGAAGCGTCTCATAACAGGTGTCTCATAACATTCCTTTCAGAACCAGTACTGCGAGTTTGTATGTACCGAACTTATACTACTGATGAACGTCTAATTTGAGTGGAAAAGACTTTATCGGCTTTCTGCGCAGTGTCTGTCACGAAGAGACTGGACCTCAACATGGTGTGACGATTTGTGCCTGGTTGGAGACACTACAAGTTATGACTGCCAACCGATGTCAGTAGCGTTCTTGTTGTCAGTTTCTATCCAGATTGCTTGATTGAATGTCTGGAGGTGTGAGCACCCCGGACTGATTGTGGTAAGCTAGCACTAAGTCCCTTCCACACCCACATTTATTCTTTTCTTTACAATAAGCCTATCAAATAAATCATGGTTGTACGACAGTGAAGTATCGGTGTTGAACGCTGACGTCATACTGTCGATGATGATGACTGCACATCGTCCTATACTAAGGGTAAATGTTTATTGCTAGCCACCCTAACGGTGGGTTTCATGGGAATGGATTACTAGCTGCTGCTCTACTTGAAAAGACCGTGGTTTACGGAACGTTGCAAAAAAATCAAATGGGAGATATCCATAGTTCGTCAAGCCTTAGTTAGAATAGTTGAACATCCTAAAAAGCGGTTGTAGAGCTGCCCGAGTGGGGAATTTCGATCGAACAGTCGGCATCCCGCAGGTTTCTCTTCTTGAATTTTGTGCTGTCGTTATTTTTTGATTTTTCATCTGTTATCTATAGGGCGAAGCTGGTGAGCCTGGAGACATTGGTGGTGTTGGAGACTCGGGTGATTCAGGCCTTCCTGGCGAGCCTGGAGAAAACATCGCCTTCTTCGTGGGTGAAACCGGAGAAAAAGGCGACACCGGACACCCAGGGTTCAAGGGGAATAAGGGCATAGCTGGGGATCGCGGAAAATGTGAACCAACTGAATACCTTGACGTGACAGGTTAGTTATGATATGCCGTTTTTGTCTTCTAGCTGATCTGGACGTCGGTAAGGTACACCTAAAAGTTCGCTTGTTTTCTAGCCTTAGTCGGTGATCGTGGTCCAAAGGGTGAACCAGGAGAATTAGGTGAGAAAGGCCCGAGGGGGGAACGAGGCCGCAAAGGAGAGATTGGTCAACCTGCACTGCCTGCCGAACTAGGTGACCCCGGGACACCTGGACTGCCTGGCCCAAAAGGAGAGATGGGACCCACAGGTGAGTACGGCCGGTTTATCCTCATGCTACTGCGTTCGAGGAGTTTAAAATAACATAGAAGTATGTAAAACACAGACCGTCATCAGCACAAAAGTACATTATGATAAGAGTATGTTCACGTAGTGATGCTTTAAAAACAATGTCGTCATTTGATGCCTTAATTTTTTCCCCACTAGATATATATTTTTGAAGTGGTCCTATTCGAAACAATGTCCCATGGAATGTTTTTCAGTGCGATTCTAAATACATACAACATCTTCCTCACGGTGGCTGTGCTGTCTAGAGGTTCACCTTATGGCGATAAAAGCAGTCAAATTTGACAGCAGTTTGCTCCCTCACTTGCCTGATGCGTTTTGTGCAGTTCACATAGGTGACACCTGTGCTACTGTTTGTGAAGTAGTTATAGATGTTTTACATGCAGTCATTGGTGAAAAGTCACACGGAGTTCTACAGAACTCAAGACGGGACTGGCAGCCAAATTGAAGCCACCGATGCCGGGATTCGAACATGGTTCGTCAAAACAGAGGTTCGCAATATTGATCACGGGGCCACCGGAGCCCGGACGGTCGAGTCGAAGCAATAGTGAACGCTTGGCTTAAGGCACATTCTGAAATCATTTTGTGTCACCCCGCTTTCGGGCAATGGAGTCACCTCTTACCTTCCTGCATTCTACCGACTGGCCCGCGGAAAATCACGGAAATCTAGGGAGATGAAGCTCGTTGACCGTTTCGTTGAGAACAGGGTGGACAACAGATCACCAGGGATTCTGTGGCTACTCATAACGATTCCTTCCTGCCGCACCAAGTTGAAAAAGTGCTGACTATAGGCGATATATCAGTCCTTCTACAGGAATAGTTTGGAGTTCTTGAATCTCCAAGCACAAGGCTTGGCTTCATTAAAAATATACGGGTTGCTATGGAAAGACGAGGTCCACCTCGAAGCGTTCGTTTCATGCTGCTTCATACTGCAAGTAGTAATAAATAAATTCTGAACAATGCTTTACTAATAATTTGATCAAATGGATTCCGAATTTCGATTTTCTACTACGTGCTTACAACATGTATGAAAAGACCAGAAAAATTACGGAACCATATTTATGCCAGCTCATAAAACGAGTTGAAAAAAGACATGATACTCTATGAGTCTGATCATTTTAATTGCTTCACTCAAACCTGTGGGGTCTCGTTTACAGGTATCCAGGGGTCTGAAGGAAAGGTCGGAGAACCAGCAACCTCTATCCCCGGCGAACCCGGTGACGAGGGTCCGAGGGGTTCAGATGGTCCGCCAGGCCCAAAAGGTAAGAGTTTGGCAGCACTAAAACCTAGACATTTCGCACGCATCTGGACACAAAGTGCCGGTGGACCTGCATAAACTGTTAACGGATCAAAATAAGATTAACTGAAATCCGGAAATAGTACTTCGATAGTCATTTCCGCTAGGATCCGACAAATAGAGTCTGTTGCAGCTTAGAAGTTGTTTTCGAGTTGAATTCAACCTCTGAGGTCCACCAAAATCGGTCGCATCCTAATGAAAACCCGATTCTGATCTAATCGGTATAATCTTCTCGCATTGTGCACCAGATAACGGTGGCGCAAACTTAGTTATTTCGCTTAAGGCAGACTCATGGGAAAGCATCAAACAGCAATCATGAAAGTAGAGCATTGTCAGTCATCAGGCAACTTCTTCACTGCAGGATATCATCAGAATCTAGGATCAATGTCGATAGCAATCCCTTACCCTGAACCTTATCCAGGCTTTTCTGGAGAAACAGTTGGCTCAGTACGACTGCAACGAGTGATGCTGAAAAACTGTAATAACTATACTATTTAAATGGTGGATATCATCCACTGGTAGGAAAGTAAAAACTGGTCGTTCCAGTTGATAGGCCTGACTTTTTCCGTTTTTGTAAATGGCCATTCTATAGCATTCTATAGTAATTTGTGCCATGAACTGAACAGATTCTACTAGCTATCCAAGCAAGGCTGGACAATGTGTGTTGAAAAACTAGTTCGCTACGCTAGGCGCTTTTCACTCCATTAGGCATCCGCCACTAGCATGACCCCGATAAATTTTTTCAGGTTCCAGTAAGTGACGTCCAACCCGATTCTGAATCACATCTACCTATTATCCGAATGACTTGTGACCCAGGTGACGCATATGGGTAGCTCTGTGGCAGCCTGCGTCCTCTTTTCGATTTGGTTTATGCACCAGAACACCCGTCACGTGACAGACGTGATAACAGTTGTCTCATTGTCGTTTTTGTAGATATTCTCGTCAAAATTAACTTTGATCCGATTAGGTGGAAAGTAGATGGTTAATCTCGTCGACCAGTTTGGCAGGAGCATCTCACCGTTATTCGCGTTCACCGAAGCAGTGAATCTGCCAGAACTCTGAAAGACAATCTGACGGTAGCTATTCGCCCGTAAAGTGCGGAAAGGAACAATGTTCACGACAGCTTTGAAAAGCTTAGCATAGGCTGAACACTTCAGGTCCGATCATAGCGAATGGAAACAGCGATTAGCTCCAGCAAATGAATGAATTGAAGAATTTCGGGAATGCAGTTTGAGTTTTGGAATAAAATATTTCTAACAACGCTTTGTTTTGTAATTTGCGGATACTTTTTTCTGTACTAGCAAATGCTTGATAAGAATAGTTGTCTTTCAGTCTCCTTGTTCAGAGTATATTACGTGTTGTGTACGTTCGACCAGAGCGGATGCAATAAAGATGCTGCGTTGTGAAACATCACTTCACTTCATGCAAATGGTTAGCGAGCTGAAGAGATACTTCAATTCCTCCCCTAGTAAGACAATTTTTACTACAAGGAAAAAATTTCAATTGTTCATCCTTCAAGTGAAACTTTAACTAACCGAGAGGTCGCGGACTCGAACCCCTCTCGATATTCGTGAGGCTGGTGGTTACCAAGGCTGCATAAGTTGTACATTTATCGAACATTGTGTATAGAGTAACTCTACTTTCTGAGTAATATCCGATTTATGTGGAATGCATCTCCAAGATCGATTTGGAAAATGTACCCAGGATGTGTGAAATACTGTCAGAGGCACCCATGGCTGACGACAGAAATACTAGCATTATCAGCAAACACATCGGTCGTCAACAGTGACTATTGTAACACATTACTCGTCGGCAGACATCTAGTTTTAAGCTGTCGATCAGCTTCAAGTTTAAGTGGTGTGTACGAGCCAAAACTAGGCAAACTCGTTGAGATATCCGAAACTTCGTCTCTCGCCGGTGTTTTCAACAGCATTTCACACCTCGTTTGTGCAGAACTCGATTAGACTGAGTTCAAGTTCAAAAGCGAATATTTTTTCCTACTTTCCTGGGCTCTCTCGTCAGCATTTCGGATTTCATTGCCGCAAGTAGTAGAATGTCCAGGAATAACGAAAAATAGAATGTTTCTAGAAGTATTTTGTTTACCGCCTATCGGCCGGTTTGGAGAAAACCGCTGGCCATTTTGATCGTGATTCAGGAGAGCACGAAGTCCCTAGTCCCATTGTTGCATTGTTCCAACCAGCAGGTCTTAGTACCAACCAACATAGCCTGTTCATGGTTTCATTACCTCTGATAAGAGGTAGATCGCTACTCATTCCCTCCCACATTATTTGTAGGGGAGCGTGGTGATTTCGGTGAACCTGGTGAAGGAGGAGTGTATAGTATTGGTGAAAGAGGACCACCAGGTTCTCCTGGCGAGGAAGGAGAACGTGGAGATGTGGGAGTTGATGGGATTCAAGGCCCACAAGGTCCTATAGGTAAGTATTTTTGTTCGTACCTCATTTTTTCTGTATTTGATGACATCCATTACTATGCAAGTTCAAGAGATAAAAGCAAAGGACATCAGAAGTTCCCATCGGTACTAAATCCGGGATAGCTCGTGCATTCCACGAATCTAGAGCTATAAGAGTTTATTATTCGAAGGGCAAGAGAGATGGTTTTGGAGTACGACATGCATTACCATTTGTTATGCTGTTGTAGGTCAACCGGGCACCGATGGGGAAGATGGGGAGAAGGGAGAACCAGGTCCGAAGGGAGAGATGGGACCAAAGGGATTACCGAGTGATCGCATGGAACCCGGAGAAATGGGCCCAGCTGGACCGCGTGGCCCACCAGGACCTTCAGGATCTCCGGGACTGATGGGTGAGGAGGGAGAGTGCGTCCAACAAGGTGAACCTGGTGACAGTGGACCCGCTGGTGAACCAGGCGAGCCTGGCCCTGCCGGTGATGAGGGAGAGACTGGCGATGATGGAGACCCAGGGGAAGACATGACTGATCCGTGTAAGTCGATGGATGTGGACTCGGCTGGGTTCATCAACCTACTGGTGGACCATTTATGGCCGAAGCTGTGTTCAGTAGATTTTTTTCCCCACAGCCTATTCCGACCTGCGATTTCACTTAAATTATCTGACTGCGTCATATGCAATATCCAAGTATTTCAACAATTCAAAAGTACTGCTCAAAGCAGTGAAAACACCTAGCCCTCCTACCCAGGCGGTCAAACTGACTATATGTGTAAGATTCATTTCATGAACTGGGCCCTACGTCTGACTGATTTCCACTGCTGATGCTTGTTGCCGCCGTGGCTGAGTGGAGAGGTTGGTCTTGCCTGGAATGTAGCGCGGACGTTCCTCGGGCCGCTACCAACCTGGTCATGATGCACGTGACTATGGCCATTCGGCCTAGCGCGCACCTTAGCACGTACTGCACGGGACGCGTCCAAGGTCTTCGCACTCTGCGTGCGACTTTCTATTGGCTCGTGTCTCTGCATGACTTTGGTATAGTGTATGCATGCTATAGGCTTGGCGGTACGCAGTACAGTGCGTCCTTGGGACTGAGTTGTGCGGTTAGGTACGCACCCGGTTTACTCTGCTACGCTTGTCTGTAGTGTCTCTATCCATGAGATAGATACGGTTGCATCCATCCACCAGAGAGTGGCTGGTTGGGAGAGCATTGCACTCAGCTGAGTGAATTCGGAGGAACGATGAGGTAAAGGTTGGGTGTCGTTCTGGTATCGTGTGAATATGTTTTACTTGGTTGGTCAACTAATAGTGACCAGTATAAACAGGACATTTACATGCTTCACTATTTTGTTCGCCAACGATATCACAGTTGCCGCAGGTGATCCAGGTGATCGTGGGGAACCTGGTGTGGAAGGTGAACCTGGCCCACCGGGACTACCGGGTGAACCGGGTGAATTGGGTCCTCCTGGAGAAAAAGGAGATGCCGGTCCAATAGGTCCTGAAGGAGATACCGGACCAGATGGTAAGTATCTTGTGAAAGCTTTGTGTCTCTTGAAGAACTAATTTTTGGTTCGTTTCAGTATGTCCACATGCATCGACAACATTTCGAGTACATTTGAAAGAAATAGAAATCTGAAAACAGGAAAGCTATGCACGAATTCACCACACAATGTCTGGTGAGTGGTTTTCATCACGAAAAGAAAACAAGCTACTGAGACCAACTTGAAGTGCTATCTTTCCGAGCTTGGTACACAGACGAGAGCAGAGCCCCACAAACACGCCGGTCGACCTGAACTATCTCCAAGCAGCTAAATATTACTCGTGTCTGCCACGAACAGGTTTTATATACCAGACGGCTCGCATAGAGAGAACAAGACGAGAAAGCGACTGGTCGCCAGGCCAAACGATGACATACGTCAGAAAAAAAACAGAAGAACTGAGCACACACGCCTAAATTCGGAACGACTGCTCAGGTCTTCATTGGCGTGATTCTGGTCAGCAGTGGCATTGTGGTTCACCTGTGCATTGTGCTTTGTTACTGTTAAAGAAGTCTTGCCAATTCTCGATTTAATAATAAAGGAGCCTCAAGACCAAACCGGGTTCCGCGATGGTGACTGTCGTTCAGCTAAGTCCGTCCGCCCTGTCCTGAGATATATAAAACTATTATGTCTGCTGATTCGCCAATCTGCTGTATCTGACTGCTGATCCGCTCCAGCGCCTAGTTGCCGAAGAAAAAAGGCTCAGAGAAGGGAACGCAACAGCTATATTCAGCACAAGCGAGTGCGAGAGCGTGTGTGCAAGTGCAAAAGTACGGCAGCCCCAACCTGGTCCAATGCTGACACACGGTCTGGCTTTGGTACGAGGCTGCGACGCGCTGCATATTGCGAGGGCGTTGTCTGAGCCGATTATCAATGCCTGGGTCTGATACAAGGCTGTGAAGCGCTGCATATTGAGGGGGCGTTGTCCGTCTGGTCAATATCTAGCGGAGCTGAGAGTCTCAGTAGATTTCGGGTATTCAGTAGTTGCTTTCAGGAAGCTGACCTTCCTGATAAAAACCATATAGTCAAGTAGATCATAAGGCTCACGGAAACTCGAGGACTGCGCCTACCTGATGAGCCCCAAAAAGGGCGAAACCGGTCGTGGGCTGTCGAAGAGTTTTCAGCAACCTTGTCAGTAGTTTTTTTATGAAAACATATGGTCAGAGTTTTGAGGAAAATGTAAGAGGTCTACCGTTTTTAAGCATGAGTGCAGGAAAGACGTACTCGAATCCGCGTGATTATGAGCCTTCAGAGATTGCGTATGAAATAATGCGGTGTGGATATACTCATTCTTGTGTCATAATTGACCATTGATATTGGCGACATCACTCTGAGTTAGATCGTGCCATGAATATCCGTTTGAACACTTGCAATGGGTGCTGGCAGTTGGTAGAACTGCGGTATACACATGAGCGAAGTCAAGTTTTAGTGTTCCAGTTTTTTCCAGGTGGTATTTCAAAACACATCCAGTTGAAAATCAGCTGGGGATTTGCGATATCAGATTTATCCTATGCATAGAATGAACATCAGATATATCATGATAAACTGTTGTTCTTGATTAATGAGATCCTCAGCTGGTAACGACGAATTCTGAGAAGTCTGAATGGATAGAAAACCATCTCCGGCTTTGGCTTTCGCCGATGATGCAATGGCTTCAACATAACTAAACTCGATGTATCCAAACGTGGAATAAGGTACAAGGTAGTAACAAGGTAGTTAAATGATCTGTTGATGACTTTGCGATGTGCTCATCACCGCTTAACCTAGCGGTTATTCAATTGTTTGTTCTGTTCCGTCTAGGATAGCCGGCACTCCTAATTCACGACGGGCACGTGACTAATATTAAACCGAGCTAAGATAGTCAGCCAATATGGCTATGCAGCCAGATGTTGATTTTAGGTCCCCTCTTTTGTGTATAACACCGCTTTCAAAGATGGTCTCAGTGTTTTGTTTCCCGTGATGAGACCCAATCGATGGAGCGCGTGTGGTAGCAGCGCAACTAGCGTTTTTGTTCCAAGTCACTATCAATGTCTTATGAGCTGCATAGTTCAGTTGTCGAATTTACTATTCCTGCTCTTGAAGTCACAGTTCATCCAGCCGAATTGGAAATGGTGTGAATAGGCTACATCTTCAGTCGCTTCAGTCTTGATGATATTCTCGTGGATATATTCGGCGCTCCCTAGTATAACTTTAAAAATACCAAACAAAATTTGGTTGAAGTTTGATACTTGCGGTAATCCGATAGTAGTAATAAGGGTCGCTATCAGGCTAGCTACACAAAACAACGCTGTAACAACGCTGTCTGGTTCTAGTAGCCTGATCTTCACAAACTCTTGGATTTACAAGTTGAAAACCAAAAACCCGTTTTCGTGTTCTTGGCATCAGTTTTGCGCGGTCCAACATTATCCTCGTCTTTCTGAAGCTCGTCCTAATAGCAAGGGTTCTAGACTCACGAAACTTCTCTGACAACGCAGTGCTCGTTTACCAAGAGTTTTAGAACATTGACTGCGCAACATGAACAGAATTTATTGCAAACCGGATCTGATTTGATTGAATTTACATTCAAAAGATGCGCACATGGAACCTAGGTTGGTCAAAGTGAACTGAAATATTAACTATGAAGTGACCTTATTGGTATCTTTGTGTTTTCTCCATCTTATTGAGATTCACGTGACACTACATTGTGAAACGTGAGTAGCAATATAGACAACATCGTAACTTATCTCGCTGACCCATCCTTGTGTCAAAAAATCACGACAGGACCACCCGGTGAAACAGGCTTACCAGGTGAAGAGGGAGCACCGGGATCAGATGCAGAGGTAACGGAGGGACCACGAGGCGATCCTGGTGAAGCCGGGCCGGAAGGTGAGCCTGGTGAACCTGGGGAGGTTGGGGAGCCTGGAGAGGATGGGGAACCCGGTGATCCGGGTGATGCGATTCCGGAGGTCAAAGGTGAGAGAGGACCGGACGGAATCGATGCTGAAATCGGTGAGCCCGGTCCTCCTGGTGAGGCTGGACAACCTGGGGTGGACGGTGAAGAAGGTCCACCTGGACAGTCTGGAGAAAAAGTGAGTGCAAGTCATTCATTTATTCGCCTTTCGAAGCACCGCCTACGTTTTGACATTCATACATTGATATCGCGTCACATACTGTTGTTGGTGACACCAGGCCTTGGTTTATCTGTAGTCCGTTCATATCGCTGTCTAGCAGATTGTACAAACTATTCCATCAGAGCTCACAAAACTCCGCCGATTTTTAGCTAGTATTGGTGGTAGTCTAATGATTATACTAGCTCTGAATGCTTTGAGAACATCAGTGTGTGAACATTAGTTTCGCTGGCTTCTTTATCGATAGCACAGACTTCGGCGGACCTTGACTTATTTACAGTCACAATGAACCACTCCTAGTCCATGTATCTGTCAGTTATGCCTTCATAGTAACGTCCGTTAATACCACATAGACTGAGGTGTCTCAGATAGTTCTCTTTGAGATCATTCCTACCCCATCTGTGTCCTAACATGTCCAAGTCATTAAGTTAACTATCATCGAAATTCGAGTGGCTTTCCTGGAGAGCATTGTCCCAACCCAA